TGAATTTACAGTAACTGCATGATTGTCTTCTTAAAAAAAATAAGGGCCAATAACTCCAACTCTCGACAACGCACACCATACTGTCTGTCACCTTATCACTGTGAAGTGGCCTCTCATGGAGCTCTCTGGGATTGTTACCACTCCAATAGCACATATTCTGCTTGTTGACATATCCAGATAAATGAAAATGTGCCTCATCACTAAAGAAAACAAGTGCATCAGGGGGTAAAGTTTCCAATAACGTTTCCCATGCCGTTATTCGGTTCTGGAAATCACGTGGTAACAATTCTTGCACAACAACCATCTTATAGGGATGAAAATGAAGATGTTCATGAAGAATTTGGCGCATTGAATGATTGGATATGTCTAGGGTGACTGCATGTTTGTGAGCGGAGCGTCTTGGCGATCTCAAAATCGAGTGTCAAACTGCCTCCATATTTTCTGGTGTCGTACCGGTCTGTTGTCGTCCTGATGATTTTTTCACCACACTACCAGTTGTCCTAAAGTTCTCCACCCACAAAACAATCGATTTCAGGTCGGGAACCAGACCTCTGGGCTTAATTTTGAAGTGAGAACGGAACGCATGCTGCACTGCCACGTAGGAATGGTTGTTCGAAAAATAGGCTTCGACAGCAAACGCACGCTGCTCACTCATCCACCTCATGTTTCCTACTGAGAGGTACTAGACAGAAACTTCCGTGAATGCTGTGTTCGCCAAGCCTATCCCCACTTTTCTGTGGCCTCCCCTCCCTTCACAATGTGTCTTCACAAAAGGGAAGTTTCTGCGCCCCACCCTGTAAATAAAGAAACTTAACCCTATGTGTACTAAGGAAGAGCCAGACTGGTGGCAGTTGTGGGAACCTATGAACTACCTCATTCCCTTTAATTTCATCAACCCTGAGCCATGCCTAACAATGTGCCCTTAACTCATTCACATCATGAAATTTTCATAAGCAAATTTTCACCAAAATTAACCAAACTCTTAGCAAGAGCATGTATTGATACTGATTAAAAATATGTCAATATACTATCTATGTCAGAGAAGGCCATGGTAGAATACAGAGAACAGTTACAACTTCATGTAACACTAAGATCAGGAACATACTCCCCTGTGCATGAATTAACATATATAAAAGCATTAAATAAATTAAATTAATAATTAAATTAATACATTAAATAAAGTGGTACCATTGTGTCAGTGAATACAGTGAGTTTATATGTTGTGATGGGGTTACAAGCAGCAACAAGAAAATTAAGAAATTCATATTCACAATGTGTATGTATTAACAGTCTTCAAGTATTTACAATCCCATTTACCACTTCTACACTACATGTTTCGGGAGTGTGCTGTCATCTTCAGGTGTATCGATCCGTCAACCATTTCACTGCTTGCGTTTATATGTCCATTTACAAATAATATTAAATCGTTAGATGTGTGTCATGCATCCAACGATACAACACACGCAGCCACAAGAATAGAACACATCATAGGACATAACATACACACAACATTAGAAACATAAAAAGAACGGCTCCCATGTTGATGATCAATAACACACACGAATTTAAAATATGACGTATGAGACAATAGGTTTTAACAAGTTTTAAATACATAAACTTTATTATTATATAAGGATGTATACAAATTTAATATTATATGTAAATGGACATATATAGGCAAGCAGTGAAATGGTTGATGGACCGATACACCTGAAGATGGCAGCATACTGCCGAAACATGTAGTGTAGAAGTGGTAAATGAGACTGTATATACTTGAAGACTGTTAATACATACACGTTATGAATATGAATCAGTGCAACAGGACGCTAAAATACAACATAAGAAATTCATATTTCTACATGTACAGTGGGGGCATGCGGTAGCATGGTTGGTTGAAGCACTATGCTACAAGGTCATGGGATCAAATCCCGATGAGATCATTCAATTTTTTTAAATTTACCTAATCCTTCCAGGCACACTATGGCTCTGGGGTTGACTCAGCCTCTAACAGAAATGAGTACCAGGAATATTCTTGGGGGTAAAGGGCGGCTGGTGCATAGGGCTGACAACTTTACAGCCATTTATGAGCCCATTGTCTAGAAAATGTGGGAACCTCAACATCTCGCAACCCTATGGGCCTCCAAGGCCTGTTAGAGGAATACCTTCAGTTTTACTTTACATGTACAGTGGCCATAGCAGAGAGCATATCTAAAGTAAATGTTCTGATACTTAACAGAAGTTGATATGTTACTCAAGACAATAACTTTTGGACCAACAATTTATTTTTAGGCTGATGGTAATATTATGGGGAAAAATATGCACATGGAATCTGTCAGAACCCCAAAAGTGTTTCTAAGGAAAGCAATTTGAAAATCACTGTACAAATATGCTGTGCTCCACTATGTTCTATGCACCAAATACAGAACATATAATGTGTCAATGTTAAAAAAAGCTAGCAGACAACTATATGCCTCCCCTCATAACATGGTGGGGAGGTTTTCATGCCTTCATCACCTGATGAGCTATGCTAGTGGTAGTGCAAGCTTCAGATAGGGTGATCCGTGCAAGATGGGCTGATGGGTAGAGGCAAGACAAAAAGTTGCCCCAGGTCCTCCATGTTGTGTATTGGATGAGGTTGATAATAGCAACCAGTAAAAAAAAAATATGTGCTAAGAAACTTAGAGATGTCAGATGTAACACCCTGGTAAACAACTAAGGAAAAGTTACAAGGACACTGGCTTATGTCCTCCTCCTTTGAAGGTCACTAAGTTCATTCAGGATAGGAGCATTAAGTCAATTAAAATTGGAATTACAGAAATACAGTATTCCTAGTGCAGCAATTCAAGGAATTAGATGGAAAGGTGAGGGAATAATGAATGGATTGTTAATATATTGTATATTGGAAGTATGGGTGATGATGATGATGATGAGGGCCCAGATATTGATGACATGTCATCTTTTTTTCTTGTATCCTATTTGATGCCCGTAAATATGTAAATCCCGGATATGAGCTGCTGCTTACAGAAATGTAACTTTTATATGTAATTTTTGTCAATTTTGGTCAGTTTTAAGGTTTTAGGTCATTTTCTTCGGTTTTGGGGTCATTTTCAGCAAATTTTTGGACTTTTAAGGGTATTTTTTGTCATTTTAGTCATTTTAGGGAAATTTTCTTCACACGTTTTCAGAAATGTGAATAATGTGCAAGTAAAGTGTTCTTTCTCTTTCTCCTGCCTCTACAAAGGCAGTCTGTAGCTGCACCCCAAATACCTGCTACCACAGTATGCAATAATAAGTTGTAATAATATCCTGTCCTTTCCGTGCATTTTGTGGAAAGTGCTGACATTACATATTGTGACATGTGACCCCTACCTCCCCAGCGGTAACGTAGCGCTCACGTAATAGGCGAGTAATCACCCCGCATCCTGGTAGCTATGCAACGCGCAACGCGCGGTGACGTCACGAGCGGAGCCGACGTTAGCCGAGTCCCCGCGACCTTGAAGCTATGCAAAGCGAATCAACAGCGGTGACGTCACCGAGGGATATCGCGGTTGCTAGGCAGCAGTCAACAACTCCGGACAGCGTGGCTAGCAACACGGCACCAGACGACAATTGTCCGATCAAGGCTACATAAGGAGCAGCGAAGGCTATTCACAGTCAGTCAGTCCTGGAGCTACCTACGAGTCAGTCCTGGAGCTACCGCCGAGTCAGTCCTCGAGCTACCTCCGAGTTAGTTCCGAGTTAGCCAGCAACCAGTCAGTTGTATTCTGGCATTTGGAGTGTACTAATTGTGATACTGCAGATAGCAGTAATCGTAAATCTGTAATTTGGGTGATTGTAAGAGCGGATGTGAAATAAAATTCGCTATATAAAATACGGTGTGAAGTTATTTGTCGCGATATACGCCCAATACGCGACAACTGGTGTCAGAAGTGGGATTTGAACTTACACACGTGACCAACGAGCTTCGAACTCAAGACACGTTACAATATCATAAAGCATTTTAAGCTGGCAGCAAGGTACAACAGCGGTTACTAACATTGTGGCCCTTTCCAAGTTCTGTGCAAAAGAATTTGCTTAGTTACAAATATTTCTAGTTGGAATCCTTTGCTTTTTAAGGCATACTGTTGCTCAATAAAACTCCGTCTGTCTTTAGTTTCTCGGCCTTGACCGTACAGACAAAGATGCAGTTGACGAAAGGTTCTCAGTGTGAAAAGTTCAGTTCTGTGTTGCCCTAATGCGGCCCCTCAACTTTTAGAGCTAACTGATATTAAAATCAATATTAAAATTTTAGTAGAAATATTTTTTTGTAAAGACAATTTTCCAACAGACCAGAAGACAAGAAGTCTCATGCAGACATAAATTAGCAGGCAGCAGGAAAAGTGATTCTGAGAATTGCAGAAGGGTTTGTCCAATTAACGGTCTGTAAAGTTTGTGAAGGACAAACTATTGTATTTCAGAAGGTTAATGCACTAAAATCCGCACCGCCTCACCACCCCAAGTATTTCCAAGAATCCCTTTTGGAGGCATAGTAAGAATGCAAGGAGGGTGGCAACTGACAGACAAGTGAAAGGGATTTCTACCTTCAAAACTAGCTTGCAACCCTTAGCCATTGTCTAATGGGCTGCTAGCAAACTTTCACTTTTATGACCATTGAGACAAGATACACCTTCATACTAGTCCGGTAGTCTCTTGTACATTGTCATTCAGTTCATTTTCACACAGTGACAGGTGCTGATGTTACATTGTGATGAACATATAAAGCTTATAATTAAACATTAAATTATCAACTACGAGTTTTCTTGTATATGTACAGTGACTTTTAAAAGGCAATGTCACTTTCAAAAAATTCAAGTAGCAAAAAGAGAACTATTGAAAGTGAGTGTTGTGTTTTTCAAGGAAAATGGGAAATCGCTTATTTCTGTTGTGAAGTAGAAGGTAAAGTTACATGTTTGATTTGTGGGCAAAACATAAGTGTTCCACTTTAGGTAATTATATTGAAATTATTCCTAAATAACAAATAGAATTAAATTTCCTTGTATCAAAATCTAATGTATATTTCTATTTTGAAGTGCGGCCCTGGATTATTATTTATAGGGCTGAGGTGGCCCTCTGTAAAAGCTGAGTTTGACATACCTGCCCTAAAGTAATTCATTTTATCACAATACCTAAAGCAAAGCCATCTAAATCATGTCATTTAAAGCCGATTGTAGCTGAATTTGGAGACGACATATTTTCAACTGGTGGTAACATTTTATACTATAAGATGTGTGACACAAAATTTTTGGCAGAGAAATGATTTTGTCAAGGCTCCAGCTCATAAAATGCAGTTTAAGTCTATGGCTCCTGGTGTTCCGCTACCCTCGGACCCCGTCATCACAAGGTGGGGAACATGAATTGATGCTACAATTTACTATTGCGATCATTTTCAGGTAGTGTAAAACATCGTAGATTCAATGAAGATGGAGGATGCGAGGGCAATTGAAGCTGCTCAGGTACAGTTCCTATGTGCAGCAAAATGGAAGGACAGATGGCCTTCATAAAGGCGAATTTCAGTTCCTTGATGGAAGAAATAAAATTCTTACAGGAGAAAGGAGCAATGCTAGAAGATTCGTTTGCTCTGGTGAAAAAAATTGCCAGTGATTTGGAGAAAGTGTCAGGGGACATGGGTAAAATGGTGTCATGAAAAATAGACCATGTTCTAGATAAAAACTCAGGTTATGAAACATTATGCAGTATTTCTCGAATTCTGACAGGAGAATCCATTAGCACTTTCAATATTGAAGAGGAACTTACTGTCAGTGATTTGGTACGCTTCAAGTACGCTCCCAATGTGTCTATAGATGTGGAAAGGAGTTTCTCCAAGTACAAGAATGTCTTGTCAGACTCACCTTCAAGAATCTCCGCATGTTGACTGTCATCTACTGCAACTCTGAATGAGGTGGCACTTAAATATTGAAATATATACCGTATATGTGGCCGGTCACAGTAGCCGAGCGGTCTAAGGCATGCACTGTCTTCGCTCGCTCGGAAGCCGGGATTGTGGGTTCGAATCCCACTCAGGGCATGGATGTTTGTGTGCGTTTTTCTGTGTTTGTCTACAGGTAGAGGCCTTGCGACGAGCTGATCACTTGCCCAAGGAGTCCTACCGTATGTGTAAGATCTAGTAAACCAAAGTGAAACGGAGAGTTTCATGGAGGTAGGCCTAGGCCCAAATTGGGGCTGTAGCACCACACAAAAAAAAAGGAAAAAAATATGGTATGTGTACATTTGATAAGCTTTCCAACATGGTAGAAAAAATCGTATTAAAATATTTAGCTTCAAATTCAATCATATATTGCTTACTTTTCAACACAGAAACAAGGACAAATTTAAAAGAGCAACGTTGAGTTCAGAGTGTTAATAAAGATTAAAAATACATTTTAAAATAATTAGTAGATTTTCCATGACATGATATATTTTTAGGTCGTTTTTAACTTTCGGATAATTTTTCTGGATTTTTCAGTCATTTTAAAAATATTTTTAAGTCATCAAAATCCAGGCCCTAATGATGATGATGATGATGATGATGATGATGATGATGATGATGATGAAGACGATGACGACGATGATGATGATGACAGCAATAACAAATTTGACAGAGAATTCTTGATTAATAAGGAATAAAAGCATGAGATCACTGCCTCTGAGACAAATTAATGACTCTGTGTATTAAGAGTGAGGAAGGTTTAACAATACTACAACAGTACATGCTTATGCAGCAACTGAAGAAAAAGGATGATATAACGATTCCTTTTATGACTTTAACTGATAAGGCCTATCATAGAGCAATGGCACAAAACACAAAAATTATAATGACTGATCCAAATGCAAAGATGACTCAAGAGAAGACATTCTGACCAAATGCTGTTAGATGCAGCTTGCATGAGATACTAGTATACCAGTATACCTGATGATTTTGCAGTCAGCAATAACATGATTATGAGGAGCACATACTCGTACTATCTGCATACAATACATAAAGAAATATTATTGATGTGAGAGGCTGTAGAGCTACAGATTGTGCTACAGCATCTTTTGGAATGTATAAAGTACTCACAGAGAAAATCAAATTATGGAATTTGGCGGGGGGGGGGAAATATAATGTTGAGAAATTTTGCTAGAGGATGATGAGCAGCAGAGGAATTCTATAACACTGGTTGCAGTTATTAAAAAGTGTCAGCTGCAAAGGGGGTGACTGGTTGTGGGCAAAACAGTGGTGATATGACTGGTTTCATGACACAGATTTAACACAATAATGGAAGAAAGAAAGTGGGCTATTGTAAAAATAATGTAGAGAGAAACAAGATTAAGTGTTAATTATTATAGAATAGGTGGGGAGGAGCAAAAACAATTTGTAGGGGGAAGCACAAAGGACAACAACAAACTGATACATATGACACTTCACTAACAAAACAAAATCTGTTCAATGTGAAGTGAGGAATATACCTCAAGCCCCAGCATGCGATGACATAACTCCACCAACTGCTTTGTACCAAGCATATTAATGGTGACAGACAGTTTTAAGGCTTCATCGAACTTCACAGTAGCAGCAGCATGGAACACAACAGACACAGTTCGAATAAGCAGGTTCTGATCCGTCTGACTGATGCCGAGCTCTGGTTCTGTGACATCCCCTTGGATTGGAACAATCTTGTTCAATTCTAGTGGTCGTTCTTTCCGTAACCGATCAAACAGCTGTAGAGAAAATAACAGAAACAGTTAATACAATACCGCACATAAGAAACAACTAATGGTTTCTCATAAATTGAATCAAGACCACATACATGGGTTTATTTTTCAGATTATACTTCGTCTCTGCTAGAAAACAGCAGGTTTATTGCAGTTTATTCAGAGCAAAACATGACATAAGCAGAAATACATTTAGATTTGAGGCTTCAAAGATAAATCCACCCATAGCCAAGCATGAGATGACATGAAAAGGAAAGAGAATGTCATAGTGAAGCAATTACTACTTTGCTACATGTTCAGGCCCCAGTTCCAAAATTATATTCTGGGAATTGGGGATCTTGACTATGCCTTTGTGGTCTTCTTCATTCTCTCCACATAAATGCTAGATCATCAGCTGAAAATACCCCAAAACTGCTTCTCACCACATCTCTTCCAATTTGTCATTCATCAGTCATCCTGTTATGCACTGTTCATTGGTGATTGGAAGCAACCAAATTTTGTGTCAACTAAATACAGTAACCCCTCGTTACAACGGACCTGGATATAACAGATTTCAGATATAACAAACAAAATCTGGATGTGTACAATTTAAGATTTTAGTTTGCTATATGTTTTGGTCATTTACAACCATCATCAGGCGTTCATAAACAAAAAATGTGTCTACGTTCATTACTGGACTGCATGTTGCAACGGATCTGTTACTAATAGTCTTGTGATGTAAAAGTTTTACTATAATTACAATGTTTAAATATATTAAAATACTTGCTTAAAATCAGTAGAGTTTATTTAAAATTATTACTGTTACTTTTTCTACAATTTATTTTATTATATGTAGGTAAGTCAATAAGTAAGTTACAAATGGATATAGAACTTAAACAAATAAGACTACTGATTTGAAAAATGCTTTTATTTCTCAGCATAATCTCCCTATACACTGAGGTACTTGTCCCATTGTTTCACAAGCCCCTGAAAACCAGCAGCATAAAATTCTTTGGGCTGCTGTTGGAACCAGGCAGTGACTGCGATCACAAAGGCATACTGCTCACCGCATTCCAGTCTGAAGGACAAACCGTAAATGCCGACTCCTACTGTAACATCCTCAGGAAACTTCGTAAGGCCATTCAACGGAAGTGACCAGGATTCCTCACCAAAGGTGTGTTGTTCTTGCATGACAACATGCGTCCCCATACTGCCAACAAGACAAATGAGACGCTGCAAAATTTCAAGTGGGAAGTCCTCGAGCATCCTCTGTATAGTCCCGACCTTGCTCCAAGCGACTTCCATTTGTTTAGCCCTCTTAAACATCATCTTTTGGCTGAACATTTTCCTGACGATGAAGCTGTAGATAGAGAAGTCACCGCCTGGTTCCGACAGCAGCCCAAAGAATTTTATGCTGCTGGTTTTCAGGGGCTTGTGAAACGATGGGACAAGCGCCTCAATGTACAGGGAGATTATGTTGAGAAATAAAATAATTTTTCAAATCAGTACTCTTATTTGTTTAAGTTCTATATCCATTTGTAACTTACTTATTGACTTACCCTCATATACAGGGGGTTTGGAGTATGGGAAATGGTGCTTGTGTAAATAAATGTCGATGTTTTGTGAGTATATGTTGTAGATGGTGATGGCCCCATTCCATCTTGTTTTGGTGGTTTGAAAAAATATGGAAACAGAGCCATAAACAAAACTGCAATATGCAAAAGCTTACTATCATAGAACTTCAAATAAGAACACAACCTGCAAGCCTACCACAGAATGTCAAAAGCACAGGTACAACTACTATAAAAGCATATAACACAACTACATTCTCACACAATATTAATAATTTTTTTCTAACAAAACACCACAAAAAAAAAACAAGCCAGCACGAGGCCAACAGCACCAACAGTGTATACTTGCATTAACATCAGCATTTACACTACAGGATTAAAAATTCAAAACACCCCATTTCACCCAAAAAGACATGTCACCATTAGCACCAACAACGCACACTCATAACAATCACGTTCCCTTACTTACTTGCTTACTTACTTACTTATGGAGCTGAGACCTTCTGGAGGAGCCGCCAATTCTGCAGCTACTCAAGAATTTCCCAGTATTTGACAGAACCCAAAGGTTCATTACCATGTTCACAAGAGCCCTCCACTGGTCCCTATCCTGAGGCAGATCAATCCAATCCATGCCAACCCATCCTCTGTCTCTAAGATCCATTTTAATATTGTTCATCCACCTATGCCTTGGTCTTCCCAGCGGTCTCTTTCCTTCTAGCTTTCCCACCAAGATCCTATATGCATTCTTCATCTCCCCCATTCGTGCTACATGCCCTGACCACCTCATCCTCCTTGACTTGATCATTCTAATTATACTTGGAGAAGAGTACAAGTTATGAAGTTCCTCATTATGCAGTTTTCTCCAACCTCCTGTCATTTCATCTCTCTTCAGTCCAAATATAACCACATCCCCATAAAGGACAAAAAGTTCAAAAACACATTAATTTTTTATGACAAGAATATCTGCAATGTATCCATTGTGATACAGAGCCTAGAAATGAATACTGACGCATTATGTCACTTATAAATGCCTGATGATGACCATAAATGACCAACACATGCGGCAAAATGACATCTTAATAAACTACATATATGATTTCATATACAATTTGAATCTATCAATTATTTATTAAAGTATCAAAACTGCCGTGATCGACAGACATATTTACATAGCAGTGAGATACACAACAGGATGCAAAACATATGAATGAAGATACTACACCGTACTTTCAGTAACTACTACCTTAAATATACACAACTTACAGGTGCATTCAACAACTCGCTGAGTCTGGCAGTAAGATCGTGACCTCGTTTCGGTCTCATCAGAAGATAGATATTCTTTATCCCTGGACATGACCGCAGCAATTTCTCAACCAGGACTTTACCCATGAATCCTGTCCCGCCAGTCACAAAGACAGATCGATCATGGAAAAACTGCCCCACAGACACATAGTCACTTGATCCCAGCAGAGTAGTCATTGTTGTGAAGAATTAAGTATGTGCTTGCAGTGGAATGGACTTCTGGATGTGTACGGAAGAGAGCTTGCTAGCTTGCAAAAAAATAAAAAACAGAGGTCAAAATTCTGCCAGTTGAGCATTGACTATCAAATGAAAAATCTACAGCTTCTTCACTCCTTATTTTAGTACTTGGGGCAGATACATTTCTGTTCATTAAAATGTTACAAACCACTACAAACATAACACAGTGTAAGCATTTCAACAGTGAAGATTCTTATTCCATTCTAATCTACACAACACGAAACCTACTATGAAGGATTATTTCTGACCACAACGAAACCACATGGCATACACTGGTACTCACAGATCAAAAATTAAATTAAGTATCTGAACAGAAATCCACAAACTGTTCCCTAAGTGTCCTGTAAATTTTCACTTCCACAATGTATTCGTTGCTCGATGTCTTTATAATTAAGCTACTCCTTTAGACTGAAAGTAATAGCATGTTGCAATCAGCACCAAATTTGTGATGTAATCATATTCTGTACGTATATTCAAATCATATATAAAAAGAAAACAAAATTTCAAACATTATATAGCTTCAAATATTTTGGCAGACTCAAAATACTTCTGTACTTTCTTCTTCCTTAAGTACTTCTGAAATGTTACTTGAAAATAAATAAAGAGCAGTGAAGCAGAATACTGTGATGATACATCTTGTAATAATGTCTGGGAGAATACCACTTTCACTTGCACTGCATCCTTACATTGTAGTTGCGTTGTTCAACAAATCACACCTGTAAGGAGAAAAATTATGAATCAATGTTAGATATTTACGTGAACAACTGCTTTTCTTGGCAGTACTAACATTACACTACTTTGAAGAAAGCAGTCTTCTGGGATGTGGCGCCATGTAGACATTGTGTTAACCGATGTATCTACACAGCACCACATCTCAGAAGACCATTTTCTTCATAGTCACCACCGTGAAAACCTAAGATCTTACATATTGCACTACTTTGTTCCAACAGAACAAGGGCACAAGTTGATAAATTGTTTAACAGTTTCAAATGGAAGCTGAACATGTAACATAGATGGGGAACAACACAGCCCCACATGCCTAGTAGAACAATTCTAAGAACTTTATGTATAGAGGCTGTAATAACTCTCAACCCATGCATAGCAAGCATACAGTAAACAATGTTACACTGCATTCTTTCCACGTATTAGTTTCTGCCTTCAGTGCAACTTATAATAGAACTTTAACAACAAGATTTAATTTTTAAGTTTTAAAACTCTTTAATTCTTTCACTTTCACTCCATTAATTTCATACATCTCACAATATACTCGTACAGCAAGGAAACAAAGCTTTAGGGAGACCTAACATATATTTTCAAAAGGGATATATGAAACTAAGGCAAGGTGAATTTATGAAATTATTATAAAGATCATATGCATCTATAGGTCACACTTTCAGGGGTCATATCAAGCACATCTCTTAATGGGAATGGTCAGTTTTTTAATGGAGGAATAGCCTTCCAGTGTGAATAGAGCAAACAGAAACAATAATGTCTTGTGACGAGTGGTCATCAGTACATACGCATTATACTGCCAGTCTCTGTGAACGGCATATGGGGGATCTGTGCTATTTTCAGTAGATACAATATAACTGAGCCAAACACAGTGGCTGCATGGTCTAAGGCATGAAATGCTTTCACACGTTCACTGGGATCGTGGGGTCGAATCCCACTCAAGGCATGGATGTCTGCATTTATTCTGTTTGTGTTGTCCTGTGTAAGCAGTGGCCTAGCGGCCGGCTGATCCCCATCAAAGGGGTCCCACCAACTGTCTATAAGATTAAGAAATGAAAGTGAAATGAAGAGTTTCACAGATGCGCTATGCAGCAGACGGACCAAGAGGAATTAATAATAATGATAATGATGATACTACTACTACTACTACTACTACTAATAATAATAATAATAGGGATAATACTACTGACACAATAAAGCAGGATTAAGTCAAGATACCATTCCACTCATTCGAGTGTTTTATGTTTGAATCGTTCTTTAGCATTAAGTACATAAAACAAAACCAGTGGAATGGTTGTGTTCACCCATACGCCCATATGCACATGGAGGTCTACAATAAACAGAGGTGGGTAAATTTTATTTTGGTTTCTATAAGAGGAGACTGAATCTGGGTAATGCTTGCTACATTCAATCCAGAACCTTTTGTCTTATCCTCTGCTGTCTAAAAAAATAAAACTTAGAAAACATAAAACTGTAACAAATACAAATCACTCCATCCAATGTGACATATAAGTTTTACTACATGAAAACCTATTAACCCTTACATGTTTCGGTCCTTATGGACTATCTTCGGGGGGAACATTATTACAAGCTGGAAACTACTATCACAATAGGTGTTTTAATTTAATTACATACACTTGTCCTATAATGCACAGTACGCATAAAATCGAACGTTTCACAATCACAGCAGCTTCCTGGTATTGTAAACTTTTTTAAAAAAGTTTACAAGTAATTAAATTAAAACACCTATTGTGATAGTAGCGTGGAAACTGCCCACATTCAAGCAAGTGTGACAACGCGAGCTTCATTGCTTAGCAACGACGAGTAAACAGCGATTGCTAGGCAAAGCCCACAGTAGTTCCCAGCTTGTAATGATGTTCCCTCCGAAGATGGTCCATAAGGACCGAAACATATAAGGGTTAATAGGTTTTCGTGTAGTAAAACCTATATGTCACATTGGACGGAGTGATTTGTACTTGTAATTGTTAGTGTGACGGACCAGAATGAAACAAATCAAATTCATAAAACTGTAATTTGCCTGTGGTTCTGTATGGGTGTGAAGGCCAGAAGGAAAGAGACCAATAGGAAGATTAAGATGTAAGTGGGTGGAAAATGGATCTTAGAGTTGTAGGATGGGGTGGTATGGACCGGATGTGCCTGGCTCAGGATAAGGATAGTGGGGGGCTCTTGTGAACACGGTAATGAACCTTCGGGTTCCATAAAATGTTGGTAAATTCCCGAGCAGCTACACAACTGGCGGCTTCTCAAGAAGGACTCAGCTCCAACGAGCTAGGTATCAGTTCAACAAAACTATTTTGCATGAAGATCAAATAAAACATTCATTTGTTCATGTGCCAAGTGGGCGAAAACAACTGCGGAATAATAGCATAAAAATAGCCAACGATCTACATATAATTCCTCTAAAATCGACACGGCATTTAGCAAAATACCAGCAAAAATGTCACGCTATGTACTGTGACAACTGTGTGTAGCTGTTCTGTACCTTGAACCAACGGCCAACGGTGTTAGCACAGTAGTTTGGGAAAATACTTCCCAGTTCTTGTGACCCCATTTCTAGTGTACCAAGTCTTCTCTCGCTCCTCGTTTGGAACAACGATTTAACGGAAGAGGGCTAGTGTGACGAATGCCGTCTAACGGTAACTCCCCTCCCAAAAGAACTCAGCTTCCTCTCACTCTCATGACCTGGTGACCACGATCCGGGTCAATGTTACGTGACGAACACAAGTGTAACCGGACAGGCTGGCCGCAGTGCAGTGAACCCGGCCTACTAACCAGCCTCGTGACATCACTGTGCGGGCGGCAACACCTAATGCTCAGCGTTGTCACTCGCATGACAATTACAATGCCTGCACTGGGCGAAGCACAAACTTTGATACCTCGCCGAAATGAAATCTGGCACACTTGTCCTTGTGATTAACTAATTAATCACTACGCCATGAAGGCGTATGGGGAAGTGGATGTATAGATCCAGATTTTTCTTGACCTCGGCACTAGTTGGAGGTTAGGCCAACTTCATACCCCGGCCGCTTTACCCACGGTACCCAATGGATAGGAGGTTGGGTGAACCCCAGAGCCGGTTTGGACGGCGTGGAGAAGAGAAAATTCTTGACCCTACCGGGACTCCAACTCCGATCCCTCGGTCTTCCAGCCCGTAGCTAGTCGCTAATCCGACTGCGCTATCCCGGCTCCTAATGGAATGGATTCAAGGAAATTCTAGTTCTATTGGAAAATGTCTGCTCTCCCGTGAATACAAAGTGAAAACAAAAACCAATGTAGAATTACCTCCACCTCTAATAACTCAGTTTGCCCTGGAAACGAAAAGGAATAAACGAACTCAAAACTGTCCGGACATTTTATTGCTTATTTTGGAATAAATACAAGAATAGCATCAAGTATATCCAGTTTCTACTTAATAATTATGTGGCCCAAAATATTTCTGTCTCAAATTAATATCTTCATGGGCGTCCATTGTTACAGAAAAAAAGTAGCTGAATTTTCGGCAGGGAAACCGGTTACCTTAATTGTAGCTTCTGCGGTTTTCCTTAATCCATGTAGACCCACACAGCACCTCAATTTTGGTCATGACTGCTTCCTTCAGTCATTTCCACTCCAGTAATCACCAGTTACCGTACTGATGGAACCTATATAAGCTGAGTTGCTGACAACGTCAATTAAACAAACTATAAATTGTATACGTAACAAAAAAGATTTTAGATAAATAGTGTATGATGACGTGCAGTGTATGTTATAATCAGGTCTTATGTACTAACGGGCTTATATAAAAACGGAAATTAACCTTCGGGTTCCACAGAACTAAGAAAATTGGCGATTAAAATAACTATTACTATTTCCAGAAGAACTCCACCTTTGCATTGTTATCTGAGGGAAGTCCCTGCATTCGCTTATGTTTTCTTATGTCTGTAGGTGCCTCGTCTGCCCGTGAGGTGGGCTGTGGGAGAGAAATATCGACTGAACTATTTGGCACACAAAATTATCGTTTTCGGTTGCCAAATTGTTTTCAACAGGACTCATTTCTTTATTGCGGGAGCCAAAGTCGTCAAATACGGCAACATTTGGAACATGAGCAGTCGGATTTTAGAAATGTGAAGAACAGTTTCTTAGCAAGTTAAAAAAATGCGTAATCTTTCCAACTTACATCACTACTCCGAGGCTATTACTTAATGACAGATATGTCCTTAATCTCTGAAGAAAAAAACAGGCCTCCAGAAGAAGAGGTATGTACGCTTTCGTCATATATTCTACACGACCATCAAACGGAACTGGGGTGTAAACAAAAAAAAAATGTTGACTGATCCTGTGTAAAGCAGTTTCCATAAGCTGGCTCGGCAACTAAACAGAAGACTACACATAAAACATTAAATGTCCTAGATTGTCTGGTACGTTTACAAAAGGAGACGAGGTGTGCGGCAGTATAGTGTGATTTTCATTAAAATTTGCAGGGATTTTCTAGGAAGTAATCGTGTCTTAATCGAGACACTGTATCGGCATTTGCCTTGAGGGACTAAAGAAAATTACGAAACATGTTCCGGCAATGATTCCTTGTATCAGAATCTACACTGTTACAGCTACGCCCCCATTCGGAAACACCGACTAACTTCACATGTGTGCCATTTAGAGAGTCCCATTCTACATGAAATTCTTGCAGAAGTTGCTGCGAAGGAATTTGTAAAAAAAAAACTAAAGTTTGCACTACATTATGGCGAGGCACTGGCCCATCTGAATTCCTGTTTTCAGATAACTTGACTGGGTAGTTTTACTGCGGGAAATACAAATTGCTTCACACCGGCCTGCCTCGCAGAACTGGGTTCTGAAGGCCACAAAAATATCGCGAGCAAAAGAACCAGAAGACAACTATAACTACGCACTAAGGACAACTAAAATAGTCCCTGTAATTACAATTGCCGAATTTTTAGAGCGTTCATTTATTACAAATAAAAATCAA